TCCCAATGTAGGAGGATGGGTTGCTTCTCACGGCTTGTGGGACTCCGAATTATGTTGCTCCAGAGGAATGTATATACCATGACTTCATAAAGAGTGAGCCACAATACTGCGGTTTCTTCGTCATTCGTGTCCGATATTTCCTTATCAGGTGCTTAAAAAATCAAGGTTACGACGGTCGAGCATCGGATATTTGGTCTTGTGGAGTATTCTCTTTGTACTTATGGCTGGTTATTTGCCCTTTGATGAACCAAACCTTATATGCTTGTATAAGAAAGTAAGTAACCTCCATATCCGCCTTCTCTTTTTCATGCGAAGTTGCTTAGACTTTTGGTACATCTTGATAAAATTTTCAGATCACAAAGGCCGATTTCACTTGTCCTTCATATTTGACGACTAGTGCAACTTATTCTGATCCAAACCCTCTTACGGTAACCCTTCATGCTTTGCATTTTATGATCATCTGCTGTCTTTGAAGCCTCTTTACTGTGTATGATACATGCATTTGTGTTGAAAATTTGCGTGTTAATTGTGCCAGCGTATAACTGTTCCTGAAATTCTAGAAGATGAATGGTTCAAGAAAGGGTACAAACCGCCCCAATTCGAGCAGGAAGAGGATATAAATCTCGATGACATCGACAACGCCTTTAATGACTCAACGGTAGTTCATTTCATACTCTATCTGTTCTGTTTCTCTGCCTAAACAGAGTGACTACAGAAGCATATACAAGCGCTTTACAACGTGGTCTGATAGACTGTTATCTGTTGTCCCAAAACCAAGTACTTGATTAAGTTATTCCGTTTTCCAGGAAAATCTTGTAACAGAAAGGAAAGTGAGACCTGTTTCGATGAATGCTTTCGAGCTCATCTCCAGGTCGCAAAGCTTTAGTCTAGACAATTTGTTTGAGATGGTATGCAATTAAAATCCCTCTAGTTTTCACTAACTGAATGTTGAATGCAATGTGTTTAGACTGGATCCCCACTTTCCATCTTAGCTGAGTGTATCCCTTTTTGTTTGTTGATCCGAATTGGAATGGCAGCGTCCTGCGAAGCGAGAAACCAGTTTGCTTCCCAATGTCCTCCGAACGAAATCATCTCCAAAATTGAGGAAGCTGCAAAGCCTCTAGGTTTCAATGTTGACAAGCGAAACTATAAGGTTCGATTCATCTTCATCTACGTTGCAACTGCTGTTTGTATGCCTACAACTGTTTCATGTCTCATGTACTTGTATAATTCACATTGCCATAGATGAAGTTGAAAGGTGACAAAAGAGGGAGAAAGGGACAACTATCCATAGCTACCGAGGTAACACAATACTCCCTGTTTACAATGCACATCTTATTCGATATCGGAGAAAAACAACACGATAATTCATCGCTCTTTGATCTCAGGTGTTCGAATCCAGGTTGCTCCCTGCTTACATGTGGTGGAGTTCCGGAAAACCGGCGGAGACACATTGGAGTTTCACAAGGTACACACTTGAATTTTAATCTGTTTTTGTTTTAACTCTAATTTGTCGAATGTCGATCAAATCTAACCTTGCAATAACTGTGTGATACCCCATTTTAGCTGTGGTTTTTTTAACATGACAGTTCTACAAAAACTTTTCATCTGGATTGAATGATATAATCTGGAAAACTGATGGAATTCCTGAAGAAAAAGAGAAGTGCGTGGGCATTAAATGCATTTAATTCCAATTTCATTTAGTTTATTTCATGTCAAAATAAAGTTTCTCGACTGTTATTTGATTGTGCAGGTCATAAGAAGGCGGCATGCGACCGTTTGTTCTAGCTTAGCCACCGTTAATTAACGATGTACACTTATTTTTTTCCTTCCGTTGATTATTTTTTTAAAAATTATTATATATAGTTGCACATTTGTATAATTACGTTAGAATAATTAAATGTAATATATAAAAGAAATTATAAATATATAATATTTTTATATAATTTTCTCTGTTCAGTTGTTTTGGCAGTTTTAGGATTTTTCTTTCATTACCCAAAGGACAATTACAAATTAACAAGAAAAATCAACACTCTATTAATTTAGGGATTAAATGTTTGATTTTTTTAAGTAAGATTAAGAATTTAAATTTAAAATAAATTAAATTGAGAGGATTATTCATATTATAATTTTTATAATATTAATATAAACTAATAATAGTAAATCAATTATTATTTTTTAAAATAACTGCATCAATTGTTCATTATTAAGAAATATAAACAAATTTGGGTTACAATATATATTTCCTTTAAAAATATCCTTCTTTGTATATCCATGATTAATGTCACATGCAAAGATGATGTGGTCCACTAAGTACCTAACACGTGATGGCATTAGGAAATGGTCATTTGAAAAAGAAAAAGAAAACTCTTTTAGAGAAATTGAAAAAATAGGAGTAATATTTTAAAAAATAATTTTACAAGCATCAAATTATATATATATATATATATATATATTAAAAAAAATTAAGAATCGTTATTTTAAATATTTCCTATTTTTGACTAATTTTTATATATTTAACAAAATAATTATTTTATCGCACTTTATCATAACATTTTATGACAGTTTTTTTAGCTGTTCGCATCATCCTAATAGATGGCTTAAATAGAAAAAGGTTTACCATTTCAAAGAATAAATCAATAAAAAAAATTATTCAAACATCAAAATGAGGAAAACAAACAACTTTATAACTAAATTTAAATAAAAAACATATATATTAATTCCAATTGAATTGGGTAAAGCCAGTTTAGATTAATAAATCCAAATTGAATTGCGTAAAGCCCGTTTAGATTGAATTAGATTGGGTAAAGCAAGTTTAAATTTTGATTTTAATTTTATTGAATTGAATGATAAGAAAAACAATATTTTGAAGTAGAATTTAGAATTAATTAAGTAGAACCTAAGACCGGTAGGGTAGGCCGGAAAGTACAGTGTTGGGGAATTTGGAGAGTTAGCGGCAACCTTGTTTGACCAATGTAGCTTAGCCTGTATTTATTATTCTCTATTGCAAGTCACCTAAACTCCACCGGCCGATTTCCACGCGTCTCTCTCTTTTGACCTTTTAATTTACGCTTTCCTCCGTTGCTGAGCTTTGAAACACAACCCAGTTTTGTTGGCAATATCCAAAGGATAGCAAAGCACTCTTCCAGCTTCCTTGAAAGCAACCTCCTAATCTCACATGGCGGCACAGTCATCAATTAGCATCCCAACTCCCACACCTCTAAAATATACCAGCATTTTCCCCAGTTTTTCAACATTTTGTCTCAAAAACGAAAATGTTTTAATTATTATTAATATTACTGTTGCTAAATTACTAATCCCGTAACACATATTCTTAAGCTGGTTGAGCTATCTATCCTTTCTTGGACCTCTACCCACCATTAATTCAACACTCTGTTTCCGTCCAACTTTCCTTTTTTTGTAGTTATTGTTGTATTTAATTCCTACTGGTCTAGCTTCCCTCTCCCTCAGGCTTCAAAAGCAAGATTTTCCCTTTTTTTTAGGTGATTTTAGTTCATCTTCTTTAATTAAACACAAGCAAACAGTCATTTTTCCTTCAGAGCCACTCAAACTATGGATAGGGATAGTATAGAGATGGACAAAGAACGTTGACGGCGGAAATGGCGTTTCAAAGACTCGTCCTCCGCTGTCATCAGGATCCGTAAAAGGTTGCCTGATTTCTTGCAATCTGTGAAGCTTAAATACGTTAAATTGGGTTACGGTTATTCATGTAACCCGGTCACCGTTCTCATATTTGCTCTTATCCTACCTTTGTTCATTATCGCTTTAGTTCAGTTCACCGGTCTGAAACCGGACAGAGTTTCCCAGTTATGGACCAACCAAGCCCTTAGGCTTGAGAGCATTGATGCTGCTACGAGACTATCTGGTTTGTTAATCTTATTCTTCCTCTTCGGTCTCTACTATGCAAAGCGATCCAGGCCGGTTTATCTCCTCGACTTTGCTTGCTACAAGCCTGAAGATGATCGTAAAATGTCGGTCGACTCGTTCTTGAATATGACTGAAGAGAGCGGCGCTTTCATGGAGGACACGCTTCAGTTTCAGAGAAGGATATCGACTCGGTCCGGACTAGGCGACGAGACGTATTTCCCGAGAGGGATAACGTCTAAGCCACCGAATCTGTGCATGGAAGAGGCTCGAGCTGAAGCTGAAGCTGTCATGTTCGGATCAGTCGACCAACTTTTCTCGAAAACCGGAGTTAACCCGAGGGATATCGGCATTCTTATTGTGAATTGCAGCTTGTTTAATCCGACACCGTCGCTCTCGGCCATGATTGTCAACCATTACAAGCTACGTACAGATATCAACAGCTACAACCTCGGGGGAATGGGTTGCAGTGCCGGCCTTATATCGATCGATCTCGCAAAACACCTCCTTCAATCCAACCCAAACACGTATGCCTTAGTGGTGAGCACCGAAAACATTACTCTCAATTGGTATTTTGGGAATGAAAGATCCATGTTGCTATGCAATTGCATATTCCGCATGGGTGGAGTCGCGGTCCTGTTGTCGAACAAGCCACGAGATAAGGCTTGTTCCAAGTACCAGCTTGTTCATGTGGTTCGAACCCATAAAGGAGCCGACGACAGACATTACAACTGCGTGTACCAAAGAGAGGACGACAAAGGAAAGATCGGAGTTTCATTGGCTCGTGAGTTGATGGCCGTGGCCGGTGACGCTTTGAAAACCAATATCACCACGTTGGGTCCCCTCGTTTTACCATTCACGGAGCAGTTCATGTTCTTCATCACGCTCGTCCGGAGGAAGCTTTTGAAAGCCAAAGTGAGTCCTTATATACCCGATTTCAAGCTCGCTTTCGAGCATTTCTGTATCCACGCCGGCGGAAGGGCGGTGCTGGATGAATTACAGAAGAACTTGCAGTTATCGGATTGGCACATGGAACCCTCGAGAATGACTCTACATAGATTCGGAAACACTTCGAGTAGCTCATTATGGTATGAATTGGCTTACACGGAGGCCAAGGGACGGGTATCGGGCGGTGACCGGGTGTGGCAGATTGCATTCGGGTCGGGTTTCAAGTGTAACAGTGCTGTTTGGAGAGCTCTTAGGTCCACTCCCGTGAATGAGTCAAGAGGAAATCCTTGGAAGAATGAAATTGATAAAATATCCGGTCAAAATATCTCTCGCTTGAGAATGCTGACCTGGCCCGGATCTGTAGGCTGTTTGCCATAGGCGGTGGGGTTCCTACACATCTATATTATTAATTGAATTTTTTTTAATTTTCTTCACTTTTAATAAAAACTATTTTCTGGTAAATTAGGCACATCAAACATGGATAATTTTATTCACATCATTCTTGGGATTAAATTTGGAGTGATATTTTATACAATATAATTCTATCAATTGCTAATAAACCAAATTTTATTTTTTCTAAATTTTTTTTATTTTCACTTCTTTTTACTTTTTAATCATCAAATTTTTAATATTTTATAAAGTTAAATCATCTCAAAAAATCTAACCCCAAAATCACTTGAACTTAAACCTAAAAATACCAAACTCAAACCTACCCAAATTGAGATCCACTTGCCACCTCTAATTAAACGTGTCTATTAGGCACATAAAATATTCTCCCATCAATAATATAATATCAAATAAAAATATGATAAATTGTATTAAATTTTAGAGTTTGAATTATTTATTTCATTGATTTTTATAAATTATAGTACCTGATTTTCATTTAATTGTAATGTAAGTATTTAGCTATCAAAATTTAAACGATGCGGCAGTACAGATAGATATTTTATCACAATGATAAATAAATCAAAACAATATCATTTTGGAGAATTATATAAAACTTATTTTATGTTTTTCTTTTTATTTTCTCACATTTTTTAAGCTAATCACGAATTTGATCAAGCTTTCATTCGTCGATGTTAGTCTCATCTTTGGTGGTCGAAATTTTATAAAATATATCTTTCAATTTATTTTCTTTTTCTAAACCCAAATACAAGCTCAATTTTTCTTAAATCTAAATATTTGATATTTCATCATCGAATTGTCTTGATTTTCAACTATATTGTTTCTATTGTTCTATCGTGTCTCGTCACTATTTTGATTCTTAAGATGATATTCCGGTTACAAAAAATAATAATTTACCGGAGAAGATGAGACCTTTTATTTTATTTTATTTTGTTTTGGTTTAATTTTTTTAACATTTTTTATAGATTAGGAGTTAAGGTTATTATGCTTTTCTAATTGATATTTTAGTTATTTTTTATGTAAAAAACAAATTTTTTTATATTTTTAATATTTAAGATAATAATTTTTCAGTAATGAATTTGTTTGCTTGCTGGTGATACTATTAATGTGATCATTGATTTTTGGACGTTAAAAATTCTCAAATCTCAGGGATTGAATGGGATTTGGTAAAAAAAATTACACTTTACTTGTTATTGCTATTGCCTTGTATGCATTTAAGAAAGTTAATATTGCATCATTAATTAGCTGCTATGCGTATGGCATACAGGAGAAGGGTCGAAGTTTGGTGAATACAATGTTCCTGCAACAGCCGAGGGATTTACAGTAATCTTCGACACAGTTTGATTCTAATGCCATGTTGGTGATACTAATATTAAATAAGTACAAAACAAGCTATACAGTGCGAAAAGATGAACAAAACGGAAAGCTAATATTATAAGAGAGGATTACACTCTGGATGTTCCAAGCTTTCGTTTAAACATGCGTTTCAAAAGGAAAACTTGAAGGACGCTTGCCGCTATAAGTGCAGCTGATTCGAACATTGCCTTGTGAAGTGCTCGTCGCTCCAAGTTATCATTCACTGCACGCAGCCCCATGTCCAAAAATGAAGAATTCGGGAGATTAAAACATTAAAAAGCTAATACCTATTGCCTGTCGATCGGTCTGAGACTCGATCCAATGCTGTTCGAATTGGATGTTGTAAAGAGCTTCCTCCAACCTTGATATCTGATCCATCAAAGGATCGATATGCTCTGCAAACATCATTTACAAATATAATCCAAAGTGAAAACAAAAGGGAAAAACAAATAACTGTAACTCACATTCTTTTGCATGCTGATGACTGTACGTAAATGCCCGACTTGTATATCAAAATCAATGGTTTCGTGGTAAGGAGAGTTGTTAGTAAAGCAGGACTTGTAAGCCCCTTGCTCGTGGACAACAAACTCGTGCTTGTCACTTATTTTGTTTTGAAAATCATGAATCTGGTCTCCTAATGGTCCCTTTATCTGTGCTCATCTCACCACCCTTTAATCAAATGTTGGGGTAATTGTGAAGATAATTATTTAGCTGACAATATTTTTTTTTAGTTTCCACTATAAGAATTTAAAAAGTATATTACGTGTACTTAATTGACATATTCTATAAGCGGAGTTTTCTGACTCTTCAAACAAAGGTTAAAAGTTATCATATGTCCTTGTACAATATTAACAAGTAAAAATATAATTAATCCCTATCTACAGAGTTCAACCGACCATAATTAATTATTTTCGAAAAAATGAACCTTAATTACTCATCATAACTTTATTTTGCGTAATTCATCGAGTGATTTCAACAATTAAAAAGAGTATTCTAAAAGCCATAATCCCCTTACATGATAAAACTTTTAGTTTAACCCTTTAAACTATAAAAAGATAATGCTAAAATTATATTTTATCTCGCCTTAAATGATAGAATTACGGGGTTACTTTTATAGTATCACACAATCAAATGAGACACTCAATTTAGTTATCACATCTTGCCTCGCTTATAGCTTCAATTTCAACCAAGAATTGATGGAAAGAACAATAAAAATCAACAATGGAAGTAATGGAACATACTATAAAACTAGTCAAAAGCAAACTAGTCAAAAGCAACAGCTATACTGATGCAAACTGTTTTTTCTTTCTTTTTTCAAGTTGTATCATAGATGTGATCACCTCAACCACCTTCTGAGATCACTAGTTGAAGATGGGGACATCTCACCGCCAAGGCTCTCGATACAATAAGAAGAATAGTTAGACTATAACTGTAACTTCCGTATCCCATCCCAATGTCGTACAGTCCTGGGACAGGAAACGATAGCCTTTTCTTCGCCGAAGCAATTCGGTCCCTCTCTGGTGTTGATGGCCTCTGCCTCTGCCTCGTAGCACTTTGGGACCTGATCCCGGCTTTTGCAGACTCTGTTGATGCCATGTAATTAGGCAACATGCCGGTGTTATTGCCAATGACACTGGTTCTATAACCTCACCAATCTTAAGTGCTCAATCTAAGAGGAAATAACTTCTTGGGTACCATCCCTTTTTGGATAGGATTTTGCAAGTTGAGGATTTAGAGACTCAATTCTAACAGTAATCTTCACGGTGGAATCATCAGGTTTTTGGACCGTTTATCAGCTTGCCGAAATAAAAGCTTGGAGATACTCCATCTCGGAGGCAAAAAACTAGATAGAAGACTTCCAGAATCATTAGGTGCATTCAAGAATTTGCAATAACTTGACCTCAACACTAACTTCTTTTGGGGTTCAATTCAGCTTCTATAGGGAATTTGTCATCGTTGTGGTTATTGGAACTCTCGGATAACAAACTCAATGGCACAATACCCCAAAGTTTGGGAAAACTAACTGAGCTATCAATACTGGACCTGGTAGAAAACCATATGGAAGGTGTTTTGACAGAAACCCATTTAGCCAATCTCACAAGAGTAGACTCTTTCATACTCACAACGTACCCTAACAGGTCTTTGATTTTTAATGTGAATCAGGATTGGGCTCCTCCTTTCAGGCTTAAAACTCTGGTACTGATTAATTGCTTGGTAGGTCTTTCTTTTCCAGTTTGGCTGCAAGTTCAGACCCATCTTTCCTATGTTATAATTTCAAATGCTGGGATTTCGGACACCATAGAAGAAGAATGGTTTGACAGGTTATTTTCTAATTCCTGGTACGTAGACCTGTCAAACAATTCCATCAACGCCAAACTACCGTTGGAAGTTCACTCCGAAAGGTTGGATGTTGTTGATTTGAGCAGGAATCGTTTCGAGGGCTACAACCCTCTTTGGTTGACTAATGCAACAGATGTGTATCTACAGAGAAATTCATTTTCAGGTTCTATTGCGGACAATATCGGGGAACTAATGCCATGGTTAAAACTTTGTTTCTTTCTCGGAACCAGATCTGCGGCAGGCTGTCATCATCGATATCCAAGATGAAGCGGCTGAAATTTCTCTCTGTCGGTTACAACAGACTCTTCGAACAACTCCCGGATTGTTGGAATAGATTGAGAAGCTTAAAACTTTTGGATGCCTCCAACAATAGCCTATCTGGTGAAATCCCAAGTTCCTTAACTTCGTCATGCAACCTTGTTGTGTTTATGTTGGGCGACAATAGTCTTCGTGGGAAGATTCCTTTTCCACTAGATAGTTGTCGGGAAGTACCATGGTTTTACGTTCTTAACTTCGATCAAACCTGCTTGAGGGGAACATTCTTGAAAAACTTTGTTATCTTTCTAATATCCACCGTTTAGATCTTTCGAACAATAATCTTATTGGGTCCATTCCCAAGTGTTTCCACAATTTCACCGCCTTGAAATACGGGAATGCAACTTTGGACTACGAGTATTTGTTTGAAGTCCAAGATAACACCATTGGTGAGCAAACAATGCTGGTCGGGACAAAGGGAGGGAGCTTGAGTATAGCAAAACTTTTCTGAAGATGAAGAACATTGACCTTTCTAGGAACAAACTTACAGGTGAATTCCCCATAGGTCTATGTAACTTGGCCTTTTTGGACACGTTGAATTTATCGAGAAATCATTTAAGTGGAAATATTTCCGACAACATCGGTGATTTACGATGGTTGAAGTCCCTTGATTTATCGTTCAACAAATTTTCAGGTCCCATTCCTCGAAGCCTCTCATCATTGACGCTATTGAATCACTTGAACTTGTCTTACAACAACTTATCGGGAAGAATCCCAACAGGGAATCAGCTCCAGACGCTCAACGATTCATCCAATTACGAAGGCAATCCATTTCTCTGTGGGTTCCCCTTTCAACAAGCTGTCCAGGAGACACCATCTCTCCTACCACACCATATTCTCGAGATGGTGGTGATTCGAAAGACAAGTTGTTTCTCTATCTTAGCATTGCTATGGGATTCATTGTGGGATTTTGGGGTGTTTGTGGTACCTTGGTTTTGAAGGAATCATGGTGGCATGCTTATTTTCGATATGTAGACGAGTTGAAGGAGAAGGTGTTACTTTGGATTGCATTATTTGGATTGCATTAGCAGTTGCTCGCTCGCAAAGGATGTTCGCCAAGGAAAATAATTAAGATATCTAGAATTGCATTATGTAGTACGTTGGTACTTTGTTGCCGAATATCAGAGCTTTTGTTTGGGTTTTTAGACTTTTAGTTTTACGTTGGTACTTGTTTTTATTTTAAAGTAATATTATTCCATTTTTTTGGATAATTAAAATTTTTATTACCCAAATGAGCAGAATTCTGCTACAAAACAATCATCAAAGGAAAGTCAACAAAATCATGAATAACCTATTACAAAACAAATTATAGGTTATTCAAGACTCCAATTCTTACAAAGAGTGATATTAATACTATCTAGTCTATTAATGTTCTGACCTCTTAGTTGAATGCCGACCATCTCCTTGATAGCTTTAAGAATTTCAACTATAGTTCTAGAGTTTCCTTTGAACAATCTTCTGTTTTGTTCCTCCCATAGAGAATAGAGGAGTGCACACCATGCAAGTTTCAATATAGTGATAAGAAGGGATTTACCTTTCCAAGTAAGGGAAGCCGATGCTAAAAAGTTGTTCCAGGAAAGTGTTGTTGACCTTAATCCGAAGAGGTGCAGAATGGCCTTCCAGAGGGAGTTCGTCATTGAACATTGAAGGAACAGGTGGTCTCTTGTCTCCCGATCTTCATTACACAGAACACATAAGCCATCGGTTATAATGCCCATTTGTTGAAGCCTATTCCGAGTGGGAAGTCTGTCCAAGATAGCCATCCAAGCAATCATGTTGTGTTTTGGAATGTGTAGAGGAAACCAGATTATGTTATGCCAGTTGACTTTGTCTCCTTTAATTCTAATCTCGTCCCAGATGGCACGAGTCGTCGTAGCTCTTGTAGAAAAAATAGTTTGTGCTTCTCTTTTAAGGTTTAGAAGTTTTCTGAAGCTCCAACTAGCATTAGTACCACCTTCTGAATGCCAGAAGTCTTTATTTTTTAACACATAGGATTTCACCCAAGCTACCCACAGTGATCCCTCTCCTGCTAGGATGTTTCTGATTAGCTGGATCATACATGCTTTGTTCCATGCTTTTAGGTCCTTTAAGCCAAGTCCTCCTTCAGATTTCAGATGCCATATCAATTTCCAGCTTACTCTAGCTCCAGTAGCAGCCGTGTTAGAACCTTTCTAGAGAAAGCGAGAGCAAAGTTGCTGAATTCTATTTATAATAGACTGTGGTAAAAGTAATTGCCTGCACCAGTAGTTAGCAACACTAAATATGACAGCTCTAATAAGTTCAAGTCTACCTGCATAAGACAAGTGTCTTCCAGTCCAGTGATGGAGTTTGGATTTGATTTTTTCAATGAGAACTACACAGTCTTTTTCAGAGAGTTTTCTCGTAACTAGAGGTGATAGATTCGTAGACCTAAATTTAGGTAATGTCAGTGGTTATACCGAATTGAACTATTCATAACCAACAGATTGAAGGATTGTTATTCTACTTTGAGCTGTCTGCTTCGTAGGGTACAAATTTGAGTGCTATAGTCTGCCGTCTTCTATGCCTAGTTGGTCTCATTCACTGTGTAGTAACATGCCTCAAACAAACTAAATATATAGACAAAGTTGTATACATCATTTAGTCTTTGATTCATAATTTCAAAGTAAAAATTAAATAAATAATACATTTAACGGTCTCTTAACTTAAATTTAAAGAGATTCCTTTATTAGATTCTCCGACCTCGTTTTTCTTGAAAAACGGATCTGTTATGTCCGGCCCTTTTTAGCCCACGTGCCCTATTTTGATTAAAGATGTAAACACTGTGGTCGCATGGTCCGCCCCCACGCCCCCACCTAACATGATTAACTCTCTAATTGTGTGTGATTAACAAGAATTATGACCCATCGACGGCAACCCTGCTCTCGCAGTCTCCTTTATACTAACAACCAATTTTTGACTAAGCCTCGTAATGTCCTAGTCGGCACTCGGCACCACCAATCTCTTGTCCCCGTTTGGTCTCCACTTTCACCACTTTGTAATTTCGTGCAATTTCAAGTTTTGCATGACAACTTCAATCCATTCCCATTAACAGAGATCAATTCACATGAGTTGATGAGTATTTCTTAATATTTTAATAAATATTATGTTGAATCTCATTAATAATTTTCAATAAATGATTTATATATGTTGATAGGAATAAATTGATTTTACTTTGTAGTTAGCGATTCATCCCTTTCAATTCGAACGATAAATCGTGATCAATGGGAGAATGACCGTTGACCAATATTTTTGTATAGGAGAAAATAATCATGGAGGATAAAGACGACCTAGGGGTTGCAAAGATCCCACCTTTTTTCAGCATTTGGTTGGAACTATTTATAATGGTCTTTAGTATGTGTCAGTCCTAATGATATTATGGCTATTTGTAGATTAACGATTAGGCATGTTTGATTGTTTAGACCTTAGATTACATTTTGGTAAGTTATGTGAGTATTTTAAAGATTTTGTCTATACACTATAGTTGACTATGGGATCTATGTTTAGAAGATACAAGCTCATTTATGAAAGTTATCTTAAGAGATATAATAATACATATTAATGTTAATTGTATACAAAAATAATGGTATATATTAATCTTAAATCGAGAAAATAAATTCAAAATGTAATACAAATAATGGGTTTTGGATGCCATATTGGTGTAAGCCTTTTAGTGGGGGGGGGGGGAAGGTTGACGGGGGATATACACCCAATTTTCATCACCCACGCAGGAAATTAAAACTTTTTTGAGAAATTCATTGACGATAAAAAAATCTTCATGTTCTTTTGATTTTGTACAATGGAAATTGCTGCCCAGGAAAAAGACATTACAATCAAAGTGAAAATAATGTATTAAAGAGTTTGTTTGATGCTGACATTAACTGGTGTTTATGTTGTTTGGAACTGTTGGTTAAATTCTCCTTGACGATGATTGTTCTTTCTTTTACCACTATACTTTAGTAAATTTCTTCATCGTTCAGCTGACAAATGCTTATGTACCGAAAGGAAGGTAAATATAATTATATTGTTTAAATAGGACTGTAGATTAAGCATCAAATAGTTAAGACACCATGGCTTAGAGCAGGAAAGTGCAACATCTTTTTACTGAAAAAAAGATGTTGGTTTGAACAAATATCTGAGATGTAAGGATTGGAGAAACCCTAGGCCTAATTTATGATAATAGAAGACTGTTTTTTTTTCTGCTTGCGATAATATTTTAATTTGGTTGACATTATTCGATCGTTACTTAATTTTGAATATTCAAAAATATTTCAAAAGATGAATTTGATTCATGGGATGAATAAAAAGGGGACCTCCCTCGTTTTAGCTAACTAATCATGAAAGTGCCCTTTTCTACAATAACCAATGGTGGTCAAGGAACAAGACGACATCTCTTTTTTATTTTTTTTCAACTCTCAACCATATCATTAGGGCATTCTCTCTTCCTTCTCTCAACAAATCTAATTCATCCACCTGTACAGATAAAAAGTGGTTTAACCTACCAAGTAATCATACTTAAATACACTAGTCAAGGTTGACGACCCTATTGTCGTCCACCGGATTATATGAGAAGATGCATGGACCATTAAGCAATCCATCCAACACCTAAAACAATCCGACAAACCATGTGGCTCAGGTTGATGATCATTGTATATACAAAAGAGAAAAAAGGTGATTAGATTTATTGTTATTATTAATATTATTATTATTATTGCTGTTAGGTATTATCAAATCACCCAGAAACTGCTAGATTTTTTTTCCTGAGAGCGAATTTGATGATAATGGTAGACAAATTGATTAATTAAAGATAATGTGGTTGACAATGTCGAATTTTTATTTAATATTATATATATTCATCAACATAAGTGATGTAATAATAACCTTTCTGACTATGGTAACTAAGGTATGATTATATATATTGGGCTATTCTGTTATACACTAGCATTCACCACGTGGCAGCACGATGGGTCGGATGATGACAAAGATGATGACGATGCTCCGGTGAAACTCCATATGTCTATTTCGCTGTTGAAATGATGTTGAGTTCCATGGTAAGGCCTGTTGGTGGATATTGATGACGATGATGATGATAATCCAACGGTCGACAATTGGAGATCTTGACTATCAGTGGTACTGGTGTTGCAGTAGGTTGCCATTGTTTGGTCACTGAAGCGGGCCAATTGTCTCGATGTCTCTGTTTCCCCGCCATTGAGATGAGAAGCTACAATCCGGTCGACTGCTGCCCAGTTGGTGAGCCCCAAGTCATTGTGATGATTAACGGAGTTGTGATCACCGATGCCACAGCCACTCACCTGGTTGAGGATTGAGCCTTCGTTTTCCGTCATCATGGGTTGGTAACAGTTTTGGCTGCTGGTTGAGTTCGGGCTGTCTAGGCTCGGGAGCTTCGTGAACGGGTCAGGGTAGCCATTGTTGTCGATGGCAATCTCCATGGGCTGCCGGAGGAATCTCGTGGCGGTGACATTGTTTGCTTCACCGTCTTCCTTGCAAGTCCTTCCCATATATTCAATTATATGCTCCAATGATCCTTCATTGCTAGTACTCGTCATGAACATATGGTTCCTCGTTTTTTCACCCAAGGAGGAGCTGATAGGGTTTTCTAGGGTTTTGTGGTGATTTTTCTTCTTGAAGATACGACATACCACCCATCCCTCGTCTTGGCTCCCCTCTCCCATGGCATTGGAGACCTTGAACCAAAAAAGAAAATTGTCCAAAAATAGCATGATGCCTACATGGCTATATTTATATGTATACATGTGTATATAATGTGACGTAACATTTATCAAGAGAAGAGGATTTGAGGTTTAAAGGCGTACGTTGATTTCAACGATGTTATCGTCTAGTCTGTATTCGTGCATGATCCAATAAGATTTTTGACCATGAGGTGCCCGACCTTTGTAAAACACCAAAGTCTTCCTCATCCCGATCCGCCGGCAGTTGCTATATATGACCTTGTCGCGGCCGGTTGCTTTCCAAAATCCAGCAGCTGTGGCGCGGTTGGTGCGAGTCCCGCTGGGGTACTTCTTGTCTTTGTGGCTGAAAAAGTACCAATCGTTCTGAGGCGTGGTTCCAATCTTGCAACTCTCTATTATAGAAATTAAAGTCACAAACAAGCATATAGCAAAATGGAACATAAATTAGAGTAATATATATACCTTGAATATCCCAAGGCTCGAGCTTGTTAATATCAACATCACGAATGACATCTAAATCGATCTTCTCGCATGAAACTTTCTTCCGGAGATAGTATTGCAAGAGCTCCTCTTCCGTCGGATGAAATCGAAACCCGGGTGGGACTTGAGATTGTCCATTAACAGATATGCTCATGTTTTCCGGCATTTAAGGAAGAGAACCTAAAGGAAAACAGCAAGGGAAATGATGGGAGAAAGAAGTGATTGATATGATAAATTCTAGTTTAGCAAGTGGAGTTTGCAGACAAGTGAACATATATGTGTATATATATATACACGCCGCGTGTGTGTGTTTGTTGTAGTATAAACGGGCCAAGAGAAAGAAAACAAGAAGTTTTCTGTTTATGATGGGCACCGGTGCTTGGTAAAGTGGGGGTTGTGGAGTTTGGGTTTACTATGCCTTGGAGAAGGACCAGGTACGAGGGGCGGATGTACATGGCTCGTTAGGAGAGTTATTGCACACCCGTTATTTTGAGAAAATTATTAAATTTAGTTTAATTTGTTAATAGGAATAAAAAAATAAGAAAAATTGCATACCTAAATTTTTT